TTCTATGATGTACGCTGGTGCTTGCAATCACTGGAGCAACAAAGCAGGATGATGAAATCCCTGCGTTTTCCTTGCTGTTACTGGTCTCGACAGTGTGTCGGGCGCCCGCATCAGCATATGCTCCCGGTCATGGGTTTTAATGGCTGGGCAAATTATTAAAAATGCCAGTGGAAGCCAAAATGCTTTGTTCAGGCAGCAGATGACGGTGTCCAGTGATGTGAAAACGAACGGGAATTCTGTTCTGTTTGTAGCGGCGTATGAAACCGTGGGGGCATGGGAAGTACTTTCTGGATTTCTTTTTCTTTCCATAACGAAACCAAGATTGCTGTGGTGTCGGATGCCTGGGTAAGACGAAGTCATTAACACTCCCTGCTGTCTTGCCCAGAAACAGTGCAAAACAAATGTAACACCTGCTGAGAAATAGCATCTGCTCGGAAATAATCCACTGCAAGTACTTTGTCTGAGTTGGGAAACCTAGGAGACTTGGATCTGCAAATGAGACTTTTGAGGATTATAACAGTGAAAGAGGAGCAGTCTCATGAAAGACTTCAGCAGTTGCTTCCCTTGATAGATCTTGGGATCAAAGAATGTTTAAAGTTGGTGTCTTAAGCATTTGGTTTCCGCTTACAGTAATCGTGTCGTTTACTTAAAAAAAAAAAAAAAAAAAGACCTGGAATTTCTTGAAAAGTCACGACTATGCTACAGCACCTCTCTTGCTTTCATCCTGAGAAATGCAACTCTTGAAATGAAAGCAAGAGCGTGCTTTTAGGGGAGGAAAAAAACCTCTTAAATACAACTGTTAGCATATCATGCAGAGGTGTACGAATCAAGTAATTGTCTCTCACTAACAGTATGAAGTTACTGGCAATCTGAAATCCTTCCTTATTCTCACTAAAGAGGAAGCGGCTTTCTGTCGTGCTGACTGAGCGCAGAGTGTGGGAGAAGGAGCGGTGAAGACTGGGCGCCGCACCCGTCAGCTGGGCAGCTGTGCCGGGCGCTGCAGCGGTGCCGCAGCACCAGTCGCTTGACGGCTGTTTTGTCCCCGCTCTGGATGCTCGTTGTGCTCAGCCGCGTGACTGCTCTAACATCTGGGGAGCATGCTGACCTGCTGCTAGCCACGTCCCCTCTCCTTCCTCTCCAAAAAGTGTGATAAACCTAAAGAAAGAAAATTGCCTAATTAACCAGTGAAAATGAATCTCCTCTCCTCCAAGGTCGTCTAATTTTGAGAAAAACCATGGCAAGTCAAAATGAAAGTTTTCTATATGGTAATAGCATAACTTGTAGGTGAGTGGTTGAGTTTGTAAATGTGTAACCTTTTTTTTTCCCATTCCCTTTTTCTTTTTTTTTAATAAAAGCCATTAAAGACTATGAGACGGCTCAAGCCAATAGTGAAAATGACCAGCAGATTCGGGAGGGGCTGGAACGTGCCCAGCGGATGCTGAAGCAATCGCAGAAGCGGGACTACTATAAAATCTTAGGAGTAAAAAGGTGAGGTGGTAACATCGGAGGCGATGACGTGAAAGCTGATTGGTAAGCCAGCACGCCCAGGGCTGATCACGTGAGGTTGTTGGGCCGAGTGTTGGGTTTTGTTCCTGTGTCTTGCTGCCTGCACAAGTTCAGCAGTGTTCAGCTTTCTAGTAGCATTGGTTTACGGTTCCTTCAGAAAGAATGAAAAAACCAGCACTGGGAAGGAAAGAAAAATCCCTGGGTGAGAAATCCTTAGTATAGATGATCAAGAGTCAGGTGAATGATTTGGGGAAGAGAAAAAGAACAGTTGGAGTGAGTCCAAAGGAGGCCATGAAGATACTCAGAGGGCTGGAGCACCTCTGCTATGGGGACAGGCTGAGAGAGTTGGGCTTGTTCAGCCTGGAGAAGAGAAGGCTCCGGGGAGACCTTATAGCCCCTTCCAGTACCTGAAGGGGCTACAAGGAAGCTGGGGGGGACTTTTTACAAGGGCCTGTAGTGACAGGACAAGGGGGAACGGGGTTAAATTGAAAGTGGGGAGGTTTAGATTGGGTATCAGGAAGAAGTTCTTTTCAAAGAGGGTGGTGAGGCACTGGCACAGGTTGCCCAGAGAAGCTGTGGGTGCCCCATCCCTGGGATTGTTCAAGGCCAGGCTGGATGAGGCTTTGAGCAACCTGGTCTAGTGCAAGGTGTCCCTGCCCATGGCAGGGGGGTTGGAACTAGATGGTCTTTAAGGTCCCTTCCAACCCAAACCATTCTGTGAAGACTGGAAAGAATTCCTGAAAGCAGCAAAAAGGTGGCAGGCAGTGTAGTGTGTTAGATTGGAGGAGTCTGAAAGGACTGATTGAAGGGTCTCTGAAGCACTCTTGCCATTAACCTGGGGAAACTAATGACTTCTCTTTCTAACGAGCACTAAACAGATGGCCAGTTCCAAACTGGTATTGGTCGTCCTTCCAGTCGTGAACTAATTTGATCTGCGCTCTGTGCGCTTTTCATCACTCACCTGGCTGTGAATTCTGCAGTCCGGGCACTGTGTCCTGCGCAGCAGGTGGCAGTATTTCCTTGCCAGAGAAAGTAAACGGGTGGTGAAGGACAGGGCGAGCAACCTTTGCTTGGAGTTGGAGCCCGCTTCCTCCCTTTCTTTGGTGAGGAGTCCTCAGTGCCGCTCACAGGAGGTTATCTACCTCCTCGTTTTCCTGATGCCCTTAACGGCTGTCTCGGCGTTCAGAACAAACCCGCGGGTTCATCAGCGTGGCGCAGGAGCAATTAGAAAATGTGATTTATAATTTTTATCCCTCCAGAAATGCTCGAAAGCAAGAGATCATAAAAGCGTACCGCAAGCTGGCATCCCAGTGGCACCCTGATAACTTCCAGAGCGAGGAAGAAAAGAAGAAAGCAGAGAAAAAATTCATTGATATAGCAGCTGCTAAAGAGGTCCTCACTGACCCAGGTAACGGCCGCTCCTACGCGGTGGCTTCCCGTGGCTGATTCGCCTTTTTACAGCCGGGTAAAAACGCGGTGGGTGTGGGTCACGGCGAACGTTACAGCTTCCCTTTGTCCATCTTGGGAAGGCAACGCCTTCAATCCAGTCCGTTGCACGCCTGGAACAGCTTCCTGTGCTTCAGGCACTCGAAACAGAAGTCAGATGTAAGTTGTTATTTCAAAGGCTGCTTTTTAGGATGCCGTCTGGCAGAGAATTCCAGGGTTGGTTAACCCAGGAGAAGCCCGCTGGAAAGGCATCTCCTCCTGCCTCAGGTTCTGTTGCAAACGGTGTTTAGTCTGCAATGGCACCTGACGCGTTCCCAAGAAGCTCTCGGCATTGGCCCTTGGCGCGCGCATCGCGGCCCAGACGCGCGGCGCAAGCGGGTGCTGGGCAAACAGAACGTTTCCCCGGCGGGGTGGGGGCGGCTGGGGGGCTGAGTTCTCTGTTCCTGCTGGCCTGGGGGAGAGGATGACCTCGCTGCGGGTCTCTATGGCCAGGCTCCTGCGGCTGGCCCGCTCCCAAGGAGCAGGAAGCCCTGTCAGAAGGGTGCGGCCGCTCTCCCGAGGTGACCCTGTGACTGGGAGGTCCAATGTCCGTCTGGGCAGCGATGAGCAGAAGGGGTCGCATCGCTTAGTCTCCAGAACGTAACAAAAGCCAGGGCGGTGGGGTTATCTCCCTCCTTCAAAAATACAAACGCTCAGGCAGCCGAAGGAAAAAGCAAAGGCCAAACCAACCCCAAACGAAGAACCCTCAACCAGAGCCGTCTGTGAAGTGCTGCTCTTTAAGTTCTTGCCCTGTCGGCACCCCCCGCCTTCTCCTGGACACCCCACCTTTGCCGTTCCTCTCCAACCAGCTGGGCAAGAAAAGGACACCGGCCGTAGCTGGCTTTGGTGATGCCATCCCTATGGCTTCCTCTCCCTGCAGTGCCATCCTCCCCTTTATCCTGATGTCTTTCCCAGCTCATTTTCTGGCTGTAGCGACCATGTTGTATAAAAGCATAAAGCCCCCGGGCCTCTCGGTCTCTGAGCTCTGCCTGACAAGCTCGTTGCCACAGGGCTGCGGTGCACGTTGAGGCCGCCTGGGGCGGGTCCTGTTGGACAGCCCGGCACCGTCTCGCCTTGTCGCCAACTAAAGGACTCGTCTGCAGTGTTGGGGATGGTGTTCTCGCGGCGTTAGTCTCCTCGCCGCCGGCCTCCTGGGCGGCTCTGGAAAGCTGAGAGCGGTCGGGCTCTGCGGACGCTGCCACAACAAGTGACCGCGGCAGGTCCCCGGCCTGGGGGAGGGGCTGAACGGGTTCGTAGTCCTCGGAGGCGCTTGGTGTGACTGCCCCGACTGCTGTGCCATGATTCCCCCTCGGTTCTGTTCCCCGCAGAAATGAGGCGGAAGTTTGATGCGGGAGAAGACCCACTGGATGCGGAGAGTCAGCAAGGCGGGGGCAACCCATTCCACAGGAACTGGAACACGTGGCAAGGATTCAACCCCTTTGGATCGGGAGGAGGACCGTTTACATTCAAATTTCACTTCAGTTAGAGCCAAGACTGTTTCTGGCGGCGGCTGGTTTTTTTACTTAATTCGTTGACAAATAAAGAAGTCTCTCAGTTCAAGACCCAAAATCTTAATTTCTAATATTGTCCTTAAGGCAGAGTCTTACTGCACTAGAAGCCAGCTCCTTTCCTTTAGTGCCGAGGTGGCTTCGTGGTGAGCTCAACAAGCTCGCGCTGGCTGAGGGGCGTCTGTTACTGCCTCCGTGTTGTGGATATGCAGGACGTGTTTATTCCTGGGGATGGAAAAACCAGTAAGAGGCTACTAAGGGCAACACTTAAATTTAGGACTCGAGTGTCTGCCTAAAGGTAAAACCGCATGTAAATACTTCTCTGAGTCAGGGCCTAATCACAGTGACGATAGCCCCTGCGTGAGCCAAGGGTGCGTCGTCCTCGCGCTCAGCAGAATGAGCCGTCTCTGTGTTCTTCAGGGAGAACGCGAGCGACCGCCCGCCGCGTTGCCAAGAGGCGGGGGGGGCGGGGTGCGGCCCGCGCGCTTTTCAGCCACTCGGAATCGGCCCTGGCGGGAAACGTCCGCCCACTTCATCCCTTAACCTGCCGCGGATTGGGATGGCTTCCTTGGCGGGAATCGGCAACCGTGAAAGTGAAAATACGTGCCCAGTGGTTTTCGAGAGCCACCTTCCGAGTGGGATTCGGGATGTGCAGGGGTGGGTGTTG